CTGCACATTAAATTTGATATGACACAGTGACTATGTTTTAATAAGTGATGACTTTCACTTCAAGGGGTGTTTGGGGTGTTAACAGTGGGTGAACAGTGTGTGACTGGTACCCTTTGAAAGAGGTCATATTATGCTTTTAGGCTTTTCCCCTCTCTTTATTGAGTTATATACCTTTTTTGTGCATGTAATAGGTTTGCAAAGTGAGAAGTCTGAAGAGTTCCCATCTCCCACAGAAAACTCTGCTCTAAAAACTTGTTTATAGTCCAGCCACTTCCCTTTCATCCTTGTGACATCACAGCAAAATGCACGTCGTAAAGCTCGCCAAGCGGCTAGTCGACACGCCTTCATAAACACTGGTGGAAAAAGTGAGCTGCAGCACACAGCGCTCTCCCTTCCAAACACTAGCTACCCTCCAGGCAGTCAGTGGACATAAAGTTGTTCCTGTGATGTAGAGACAGAGCTCAGTATCACTCCATAGCTAAACTAAGTCTTCAACACAGGGTGAAAACAGGAGCTACAGCAATGTGCAGTATGACAAAAATATGGTGTTTTTCGAAAAAGTAACCTTGTCTGGTACAACCCCTAAATAAGGCTATGAACCTGAAAATGAGCATAATATGACCTCTTTAATATTTAGCAAAATGCATCAGGACATCAAATGCATGATCCTAAACATGCAGACAAGGGAGCTAAGGAGTTGTTAACGGCCAAACAGTGAGAAGGTCTTTGCTTGCCATGTCGCACATACTTCCTAATTTCAAACTGGTTGTTTAATGTGTTTCACTTGCTAAAGACCAGACTGCAGGCCCAAAGCCCCTGAAGGATTCTCACAAGAAGAAGTAAAGATGGCTGCAGTACAGGCATGGCAGAGCATTACCAGAGAAGAAACCCAAGTGCAGATATCTTTGGGTCAGAGCCCTCAGTCTGTCAGTCAGTGAACGCAAAGGATGATGCCTTTAACATAATAACTATGTACATAGAAAGGACTACAATAATGCACTAGTTGCCCACTGTTGTTGTAAACACTATCAAAACGAAGATAATGATAAGTCAGCACTTCATATTCATCGATCCATCCATCCATTATCTATAACCTCTTACCCCACACAAGGAGGCGGTACACCCTGGACAGGTCTATGATAGTAGGTCAAAGTGAACTGCTGAAAAAATGTTGTAATAGTTGTACTATTTGACTTCTCTTCCAAATTGGCAAACCTGACTATATTACAATATTGATAGCTGAGCATACAGCTGTAGCACTGTACGTTAATTAAGACATCTTTGTGTCGTGCTGATGAAGAGGTACGTATTAAGGAAATAACAAATATGACTTCAACATTCTATCTGAACAACTTTTAGAGGAGAGGGGACATTTCTATTAATCTGCAGCAAATAGACTTCCCATTTGAAATGTTTCCATGGTAGCAAACGTTATAGTAAGCGATGAACTTTAACTGTAAAACCTGCACTTTGATACAGTTTATAATGTCTAATGAAACATGAGTATGCGCCAGTCACATATAACATAAGATGTTTGTTCCTGTGTAATGGTGGACTGTGATACACAATGCATTCATGTGCCTATACTGACTCATGAAGTCACCCACGCATTGGAGGGAACTTACTAGACTCCACCATAAGCATGCACCATAAACTCCCATTAGCATAGATGCTAACGCATGAAATGGCCATTCAGCTTATGTTAAATGTAAATACACATGTGCAACATGTGGTATTGACAAAAACATGTTTTAGTCCAACTTTCAGTAAGATTTGTTTAGTTATTATTTAAGCTGTCTTTCTCGGTTTCTATTTTTTTATAAGCTGCTCCCACTGGAAGTGATGCGATGAGGGATGGAACTCATTGGAACTTTTATGATTGGCTCATAGTTCATGGGGTCATTTTAGAAATGCGTTCTCGACTCAATGAAAGCTATCTGTGTATTTAAAACATTGCATGAAATTTAATCATTTAATTGTTTCAAGGCTGCAATGTTTGCATCACTGCAGAGCTGCGAGAGAGTAATTGTGTTATATATAATAGTGTTTCTAATGATTGTTGTTATACTATGTTTTCCTTTTGAAAACAAACAGGGGACAATCAGTTCTTGACTTCAATGAAAATTGAGCTGGTAAACTTGACTGAACAGTCCAGAGCTGCACTGTTCACTCACTGCACAATCCGCAATAGCTTTTCACACATCAACATTAGCTTACCATTTGACTAACAGAACATCTGCAAATAGTGATAAATAAGGCAAAGTCATGCACAGAGCATTGCTGTGATGCCTTCCAGTGAGAGCTGCTCACCCAGCACGTATGCCCAATAAGCTTCACTTGCTTCCTTCCCATAACTTATCCATTAGTGTCTTTGTCTGGGGGATTCTTCACACACGTGAATGGCGCAAAATGAATACTTTGATATTGATCTTGGGTGCTTTCAAATAAATATCGTACTTAATGTTCAAATTGTGATAAGTCACAGTCTCTGCTGAATGTGGGTGTTGATGCATATGGCAAAAAGCCCGTCTGGCTCCCTGAGCTGCAGTTACAACTACGCAGGCCTCATTGAGATCCTAGATGGTGTACAATTTCCTCCTCACACACACACACATTGACGTTCACTGCTGCCACTGGTGCCTGCGAGTGGAGACCCACTAGGGGCCCATTATTGCCTTGCAGAGTCATTATATCAGTTATAACATAATAAACATGCATACACACAGTTAGTTATTTGTTTCACCTGGTATCATCCTGATCATCTTCTCTGTGTTTGTTACATATCCATATTCCAATATACAGTCCTCTGCTGCCTCCCCTCTAACACATCTATTGTGTGTGTGTAAGTACAAGAGAGAGATGCGTTTACCATTAGAAGGGCCGAGTCCTTCAGCAGACGGGGTCAGTGCTCTAATCTGAGGAGGTGATGATATTGTGAGGATATTTAATGAGAGGATAAAAGCAAAAGTGAACGGAGGGGATTGAGTATTAGCCTTTTTAGATATCATTAAACATTAATACTGTCAGGGGACTGGAGCACACTGGGGTCCTTTTCATTGACTTTCATGCTGCGTGCTAATAGAGTTTCACCTCTGGGGACCTCCACACCCCCACCCAGCCCTCGGTGCGGCGCTAAGGCTAAGGGAAGATCAGATTGCCGCCCCGCTTCTGGGGATAAGATTAGTGGGTCCGTCTGTGCGTGTGTTAATTGTAGATTATGTGAGGTTATGCACTTTCTCTTGCTCCCTTTCTGTCGTTTGCTCATGACGTATGATATATGCATATTATAACTATTCTAAAACTATTAAAAGGCCCTGAAGAGACTTGCATACATTAACCCAATACTTAATCCTGAGAAGGACTTCAAAATTGCTTTTTTCCTCAATGAACACCTCAAAGCTTAAACATATTCCGTTTCTGATAAGACATACAAATGGGGCAAATTTGTTGGCATTTTTGCCAGAAAAATTATGAACAATTTTCAAAATAGTTGACAAATTGATTAACTGACTAATTGTTTCTGCTTTACTCTTCACAGGTTGTTCATTTGTAATTGCACTTTACTGTTATGATAATGACAAATTTAACAGTAATAGAGACATTTATCCCCTTACTATTGTTATATGACCTTTTCTTAGCCTACATTAACTTGTGTTTAGAAAAGAAAATACCCGCAATCAGTCCTTTAGTCAAAGGTCTCTCTATCTGAATGGTGTTTATCATGTGAAGCACCAACAGAGGGCAGTGATCCCCTTCTAAAGAAGAGGCATGCCTGTGCACAGGAAATCAAACTGTGTGTGTTTGTGTGTGTGTATTTATTATACAGCTGGGTGTGGCTGAGAAAGAATGTGCCTACACTACTCAGTGGGGTGTGGGCAGATGGCGATGGAGGGAGCTGTTACTGCACAAACCTGAAGCCCCACCGAAACCAAAATTTATAAATGAATCTCATTCACAGGACTTCCTCTGTTCTCCTCTCCTCCCCTGGAGTGCTGTCTGTCAACAACTCAACTGCACAATGTAAGAAACATTAGCACAGCTTGCACTGATTAATAATTTTGCCTATATTCAAAATTGAACCCTTCATGCCTTCACTTTGTGCAGTATGATAATGTAATAAATCATTGTAACCGCAGAGGAGTGCATGGTGTGCTTTCACATGTTCAGTAATGCCTTTAAAGCAGTGTTTTTCTTTCTTTAACAGATCCGCTGAATCCACTTCCACAATTTACTTGATTGTAACAGGCTTCTGCTGGTCAGGCGCAGCTAAGTAAGTGGCCGAATTGAATTTCATTCACCTAAACACAAACATTGAAAGGTGCGATGTTTATTCTCACATCTGAAAATTCCACATTTTTCAAAAGATATACAGCCAGTTTCACAATCCACCATCCAGATTTCATTTTCATGAATCGCTTTCATGCTCTTCACACTTGGCTTGTACGTGTGAAAATCCTGACCAAGGAGAAGCCCATGTAACACACATATTTAAATGCAAATACAGGCCCTCTGAATTATCATTTATTATTATCATTATTAGGTAAGCCTTATCCACAGATTTCCACAGGCTAATCAGAATTAACGATGATTCCAAAAGTGTATAAATCGTTATTTTGCACACATTAAAGCACACTTGTCTTCATTACAAGGATATTAGAAAATATCATTTGCTGTCATCAATTTAGCAGATGCTGAATATTAATACTAGAAAGCTTTTGTTCAAATATTTTCTTATTATCTGAACCCATACATGTACAGAGGATCCTCGGGCATCTTCACAAATGTTCTTTCTGAAAGTAGAAATCTGGAGTCATTCATTATGTTCCATGACTTTGTAATTTTATTTTTCATAAGCGCATTCAATAAAAGACATCAATTCATTCAAGTATTCAATTCTACTACATTCATAAGAAACTTGAGAGTATACCTCAACTGAACTGTCACTGGTGGAAAAGTTATCATATTCTTTACTAAAGTTAAATGCAACAATACCATGATGAAAAAATGATTAATGGCCGGTGAAAGTTACGAGTTTAGTTTAGTTGCTGTGTGAACAGTTTGGAAAACCTACGTTCTTGTCTCTAAATAATGCTGGCCAATATTAAATACAAACGAAAAACACTTTGTAAGAACACTTTTGGTACCTATTTGGATACTATTTTTATTTATCGCTACATTTATTTATTTATTATTTTATACAGCCCTCTCAATTAAGAGACCATTCAAAATTTGTCTTAAATCAGTGTCCATTTCATTCCAGTGGCTGGTAAATTCCAACACAGGCGAACATCATTCTACCTAATGAGGTAGTGATTAAAGTGATTAGGCAGGGTGAGGAAAATAAGGGTTAAATTCTGGCGTTACTGTCAGAAGGATACAGTGAACGTCAGGTTGCTTCCACCCTTAAAATTTCAAAGATGCCTGTTCACAACAACAAGGTCAAGCAACAGACAACAAAGCTACAGACTGGCAGAGGGCAAAAACGATTGTCCACTGACCGGGATGACCGCCAACTCATTCGAATGTCACTCAAAAGCCGAAGGATGACACCAAGTGATTTACAACAAGAATGGCAAACAGCAGCTGGAGTGAAGTGCACGGCGAGGACTATTTGAAACAGGATCCAAGGGGCAGGGCTGAGGTCATGCAAAGCTAGAAAAAGGCCCTTCATCAATGAGAAGCAAAGACAAGCCAGGCTAAAGTTTGCAAAACACCATAAGGATTAGACCGTAGAGGACTGGACTAAGGTCATCTCCTCTGACGAGTCCAATTTTCAGCTTGTCCCAACACCTGGTCGTCTAATGGTTAGACGGAGACCTGGAGAGGCCTACAAGCCACAGTGTCTGGGACCCACTGGTAAATTTGGTAGAGGATTGGTGATGATCTGGGGGTGCTTCAGCAAGGCTGAAATTTAGCAGATTTGTCTTTGTGAAGGACGCATGAATCAAGCATTGTACAAGGTTATCTTGGAAGAAAACCAGGATTTCCGAACTCTGAGGATTGTTTCTTCCAGCAGGACAACGCTCCATGCCACACAGCCAGGTCAATCAAGGTGTGGATGGAGTCCCACCAGATCAAGACCCTGTCATGGCCAGCCCAATCTCCAGACCTGAACCCCATTGAAAACCTTGTGAATTTGATCAAGAGGAAGATGGAAGGTCACATAAAGTCACCCGACAGCAATGGGAAAGACTGGTTGAAAATGAAAGCTGTAATTAAAAATCAGGGTTATTCCATCAAATATTGATTTCTGAACTCTTCCTAAGTTAAAATATTAAATGCAAATACTCTGTATAGCGCCTTTCTTGACCACTCACAGCACTTTTACACTACATCGCATTCACACACTGAGCCTAAGTGCTCAGACAGTCAACAGCCATTCGGGGTTCGGTATCTTACCGAAGGACGCTTTGACACGCAGCCTGGAGGAGCCAGGGATTGAACCACCAACCTTCCAATTAACAGGCAACCCGCTCTACCTGCTGAGCCACAGCAGCGCAATTTTAAATTTGTGTTGTTTAAAAATGAATGTTGTTTTCTTTGAATTTGTTAATGTCTGAAAACAAAATAAATAATCTAAATGACAGCTATTTTATTTGCAATCTTTTATACAGGTAACAAACTGAGATTGTGCTCCTACTCTCACCTCAGGTACCTGTATAAAAGATACCTGGGAGCCAGAAATCTTTGTGACTGAGAGGGGTAAAATGAAAATCAATTTATACAATTTTTGACATGGGTTTTTCTAGATTTCTTTGTTGTTATTGTTTCTCTCACTGTTCAAATAAACCTACCATTAAAATTATACACTGATCATTTCTTTGTCCATGGGTAAACTACAAAATATTTTTTCCCTCACTGTATATATATAAAAATACCCCTCTCACCGCTTGTGGGGTGGTATGTGTCATCCTCAAGCTCGGGTCCTCTACCAGAGACCTGGGAGTTTGAGGGTTCTGCACAGTATCTTAGCTTCTTCCTAGGACTGCACTCTTCTGGACAGAGTCTGCGTATTTACTGTATTTTCAGTCTGAGCAGCTCTTATCAACCCACTGTGGGCAGCTGTTTCCAATTTCAATTACACACATAAAGTAATTTGCAGCAGCTAATATGTTTTTGATGGTTGTGCATGGGCACCTAAAGCACTTAGTTAAGGTTAGGAAAAGATTGTGGTCTGATTTAATTCATAAAAAGTCCACAATGACCTGATACACAACATGTTTATTAACATTTAACCAATGCCACGATCTTCTGCAAACCTTAACCAAAGTGCTTTTGTGGCCTAAACCTCACGCTGGTTGCAAACCTTGGTCTGTTTTGCGCTTTACGTCCGCCATCCACCTCCATGCAAATCCAGTATGGTAGATAAATGTAAGGCTTCATTCAATAAAAAATACCTTTACCTGTGAACATAAGCCAGGCAGCAGTTTAGTAACATGTAATTGTAATTATTAGGAGACAGGGTTGGATAAACCAACTACCTGTCCAGCACCAAGCAGCAGACAGACAAAGTTAATGACTGTTGAGACAAATTGGGAATCTTGCAAAATAAACACCCAGATATTTTCCTGAGTGAGGACCACAAAGAGGGCTAAAGGGAGAGTAACTGTTAGATGTGTCAGATGAAAAAAAAAGAAAGATGTTTCAGATGAATGGAAACACAACTCCAAATGAATGCTAATCTAATGTGTGTGTGTGTAAGTAGGTAATTGTTGACACATTACTCATAACAACTTTGTAAGCCAGGGATACGTGGCGGCTGTGTATCTGAAAGACAATGGCCAAAATTCTATTGATGCAGCTATGAGAAAACAGTCAGAATACCTCTCACACACCACATAAAAATGTGTCCCTACTACCTACAGTAGTTGTGTCATGTCACTACAATTGACCATGTTTTCATGTCTTTACCCTGTGATCTGTGTAGGTGTATCGGCTACACGCCCAATCTCTCGATTCTGCTGGAAGGCTGCCAGCCACAGGTCACATGACCTGGAAGAAAAAACCTGGGAGACTTTTGGGATCCCTATTCGGTCAGACTCACCTTCTTATCGTTATTGCTTGCACACACCATGAGTAACATGATCGATGGGTCGCTCTATTCTGATTTAAAGCCAGCGGTTAGAGACGCTCGGCTTGCTTTGTGTGCAGAAACACAGGCTTTACCAAGGCAACCCATGTTGTGCATAAAGCAACTAACACAAACCTGATAGATGTTTCTTTTCTCATCTGTTGCAACCTCTCTTTTCATGTCTCATTTTTTTCATTGGGCTTTAGCATGGGCTGGCTATCAACCTGAAGGGAAGTCCAAAGGCTGATGAACTGGTCTGTGTCTGTGTGAGACCGCATTGCTCTGGTGTCCTATATGCCCTGGGAACACAACACCCAGAGCAAATCTGGTGAGTAATGACACTTATTTGATTTGTCAATGGTGAATTGATGGGATTCTCTCCCTTCCATTTCAGAGACTTTCAAGCAAGCAGGTGTCCTTGCTTTGAAGTTTTAGACTGGATGATGGTTGATGAGGGCTGGGCCACCGACACTGACATGCATGAGATGATTTTGAATTAGCCTTGCCTTCCAGTGTATCACTTCGTTTGGTTGGGAGGCAAATTAGACAACTGGGAATATTTGTATAGTTTCTCACAAACAGAGCAGATCTTTAATGTTTATGAATACACATCAAATAATGCTCACCATTTCTTCTTTATTTTATCCTTATTCCATTTTCTGTAGGGCTGTCCCCGACTAAGGATTTACATAGTCTCTTTTCATTCAACCTACACTGTAAATTTACAGCTAAACTGAGGCTTTTTGAAGACCTTTTTTTTCTCTCTCTCTCTCTCGCCATTCACCTGTCTTGCGCAGACTTTTACGTGCATTACTGCTGCCGACAACTGCATGCACGTCGCAGTTCCCTGCGGGTCTATTTCAAGTAGCCGGCTATTTAAATAAAATATTCTTTATGTGGTTCATCAACGGTGATAAATTATCCGAAAGCCCAGAGAGGCACGAACAACTCGGCACAACACCGTGAAGCTGTGGCTTTTTCTTTTTACATGTTTATTTACAGCATTAATGCTTCAACTGTGACATTGACAGTCGAATTAGGCTCCGCCCATCGAATCTTCGACTATTCGGGGTCAGCCCTAATTTTCTGCCTGCCTGTCTAAATGTCTCAATTTCTTTTCCTGCTGGATAAAGTAACAAGGCATATATATCTCTTTTCTGTTCCACCAGCCTCTGTAACAACCTGACGCAGTAGACTATGTTGTGTGGACAATTTGTGAGTAATTCTTTAAGTGTATTTATTGTTTATGTAGCAGCAGGCAGATATCCATGGTTTGTTTACACAATTAGCTGGTTTCACACTCCTCCACTGATTGGTGGCAGATAAGTGTCAGGACATGTAGTAATGTGGCAACAAAATCAAGGAAGAAGAATGTTAACCAATGGTATATGAATGTAATAAACTCAGATTAGAAAAAACAACTTGCAAACCATATTTGTACCCAATTAATTTTTTTCTTAAATCTTAGGTTTTTATTCTGATTCTTTTTTTATCAAATCAACTTTCTTTAATTAATCTAAGTCGTCAGTTTTATAAGCTTTAATACATTCATTAATACATGTAGGCAGCAGTGTTGGGCAGTAATAGTCTTACTTTTCTCAGTAACTAGTAGTGTAACTAAGTACTTTTCATAGTAATAATAACAGTAATAATATTACAGTTACTAAGGCAAGTAACGCTGCTTTAAGTGCAATTTATACTTCTGCGTCAAATCGACGGCGTAGGTGACTGCGTAGGCTACGGGGCTACGCAAAGACTACGCTGTCACCTGCACCTCCTCAAAAATTTAACTACACGTCGAGTCGACGCGGACCGTAAGGTCTGTGATTGGTTGGCTGGGCTGCCTCGCAATGCCTCCGTGCCGACCGGAACTACCCCGCGCTTTGACGGCTGCTGTAACACAGTGAATCAATATATTTGACCGTCGCAACCCGAGCAAATGATCATTTCGCTATCAGAATGTGATCCATTTGGTCAGTAACATTTGAAAAGGCTACACCAGCTGCACGTTTAGAATTTTACCCCCATTCACGTTAGCCTGCTTGGCCGGCAAAATTCAACACAGTGGACGCTGTAGCGCTACTGCCGACTAGCGTTTGGGGGTGTAGAATGACGGACACACCTACGCACAAATATAAATGCATGGCTACGTGCATAGCCTACGGCATAGGTACGCACGAAGTCCCTACGCAGGAGTATAAATGGGCCTTTACACGTTACTGAATGCACCGCCCTTGACGTGAAAGCGCGACTGTGTGTCACGTCAGCAGAAAAACTAAAGGAAAAAGGAGAACGAGGGAGAGAGGCATCTGCTGAAGCAGCACATGAATGTCAAACTTATAGAAAGATACTCCGGCAGCTGCTGTCACTGATGCTTGGACTCGTCGGGAGAGAGCGGCGTTAACGTAACGTTTTGTAACTGCTCTTATAAACAGGCTACATGTGCAGCTGTTCAAAAGTCGGGATTTACTGTAATGATGCTTGTTTAAACCATACTTTTTGCTGCTGTTATGAATATTATATTAGTTAAAAAGTCAGAGACTGCTTCATTTGGGGGTGAAGGGGGGTGGTAGTGAAAGCAATGTTTCCCATAATTAGCCTATAATTTGGATAATTAAATAATAATTAAATATTGATTTTAAATTTTTTTACTAGGCGTATGTAAAATCATATTTGATTGAGGAGCTGTATAGAGGAGCACATATTCGTGCGGCACCTCCTTTCCCTCTTTCTCTCTCTCGTGAACACCGCTGCACCGGTGCTCTCTTGAAGGGCGGGAAACAGAAAAAGACCTTTTTCCCTTCTGCCTCGACCACAGAGACATAATGTCTCCCTCTTGGGTCGGCATGCATGCCCGCTGCACCACAGTGAAAGACGGTGCCCTGAAACTTCAGTGGTGACAGTAGTCACTTGCATAAATAGAACACATGGACCCTCAGGCTCAGTGTACAGTGTACAGTGTGAGGGAGGATTCCTTAAGGCAGATTTTGCCCTTTGTCTATGTATAAGCTTTTGTGATCTTACAGGGTCAGGTGTAATGCTATCAGGTACAAACCCAGATTAGTTGGACCGAAGGCAAGTCAGCTCAGCCTGCACTTCTTCCCTAGTCTAGCTTTGCAGAGACTAAAAGTGCATTTGAGTGCAGTTTGCATTGTGATGGCATGATGGACAAATGGTGTAGCCAACGATAAAGTGAAACTAAGTGGAATTAATGTTTACAGTCCATTACTGAACCCTGGAAGTGATTTTTCATTGGTCCAGTTTATGTTATGTATTCACCAGTGACTGCTGACAAAGACCTGATTGCTATGTTCACGTGATATTAAAACAACCAGTGCACTGTGGATTGAGGGAGGCCATCCACTGTCAAGGATGCTCCTTCTGTGTCCTTTATATTTGGGCAAAAGAATATTAAAGCCATATCCGGTGGAGCCATTGGGACAGCCTTGTCAGACGCCATGACGTGTAAACTTCCAAAGAGGCAGCCCCTGGCCAGTTTGCTTTTTATCTTCTCTGAGGGGCTTAATGTAACTCAAATGATCTGGGGTAGGCAATTTATTTCAGAAGCATGTTTGTTGAAAATTTGTAAAAATTCTCTTTACTTCCCCACAGCAATCAATAAATCAAATGCTCTGACACAAAGACCAAAAAAACAGCCTGTGGCTCTCGCAGGACTGTAATAAGCATGGCTGGCTGACCTGCCTACCTGCCTATCTACCCTCACACTCTCTGCCAGTGCACTCATTGCACATAAACATGTGTTTTGGGGGAGTGGCTTTGGGAGGGGGTGGGGTTTTCTCAGTTAGACACTTTCAGAATTTAACTCTCTCTTGCTAGTTTCTCCAACATTACCTAACCTAGCTTTGAAGAGATCACATTATGGTTTTTGGATATTTCCCTCCCCCTCTTTGTGTTATATATATATTTTTTGTGTGCATGTAATAGGTTTGCAAGTTAAAAAAAAGCCACTCCAAAGGGAGTTCCCATCTCCCACAGAAAACACTGCTCCTGAACTGCCTGAAAACAGCTCGACTGTAGTCCAGCCTTTACTACATCACTATGTAACATGCGTCATAATACTTGCGGCTAGTGTGGCACGCCCTCAAAAAGAACATTAGATACCAGTGCACAGTTATGTATATGAAAGATATGTTTGTTACAAATTAATAACTTACCGCTCCAGTCTAGGATGTGAAGCTGGTTCAGTAGTCTGTGTTTTGGCATCATCTACGGCTGTACACAAGCCATTGGTTGCCGGCTGAAGCGGCTTTGTTTTGCATCACTCTATCTTGCCTATCAGGACCTGCCCGACTCTGCTTCTGATTGGCTAGTAGTCCTTAACTAGGTACTGCGCTTGTGCACCTCTTAACAAATATCAAATAGAAGTGAGTGCTTCACTTGGTAGCTGGTAGAGGTGTTGCAGCAATGTGCAGTATGACAAAAAATATGGTGTTTTTTGAAAATGAAAGCATGTAAAATAAATTCTGGTACAACCTCTAAATAAAATTAAGAACCTGAGCATAATATGACCACTTTAGGTCAACTGACTCTGCAGGGATCAAAGGCCAATCAACAACAGCAACACAGACCCTGTCAGTTACAAGTAGAAAGCTGCACACTCTTCTTATTCTCAAACTGCGCTTACTGCACTTCCTGCATCGGACTCATCTCATACCATCACCGGACTTTACTGGCAAACTTGTCTTTTGTGATTTAAAGGACTTTACATTCATTCCAGTTGACATACTGGACATTTAACACATTTTGTACACTGTTTTTCTCATTTATTAAAGCAGAGTAAAGTCTATAAACTAGATTTACAGTACAAATACCCATACAGAAGTGTTGCCCACCACAACCAGCCTTTGCTATGCTACACCCACTATGAAAATCTAATAATTAGTATCTTACTCATGAGCATCCCACCTTACAGTGGAGCCCATATGTGTTGCTGTGACTGATATTGCGTAGCTTTAACTCTGTCTTTTAAAAGTTCACATAGGCTTTCAGTCCACTATCACTGCTTCATTTGAGAGCAAAAAACATCAAGAGGGTGAGGGGATAGAAAGGAAATAAAAGTGCATAACTTTCCTTTGTTGGTCTCTCTGTCTGCCTCTTTGTAATGAATTCCTTTGAACATGTTTGTACGTGCCAGAGCAAACACCGGTACATGTGCAATGACTATTAAATACTTCCAGCAAAGCTTCATAGATTGATCCTCAGAAAAAAAAAATCTAAGCTGGCTGC